TATTTAGTTTCCATGGATAGGGCTTTATAAACAATAATAAATGCATGTTTTTCATTTTAATGGATTGTCCATGCATTAAAAATCCACTTTTTTTTAGACTAAACCTTTAGGCACTCCAATTTTGAGAACTATTCATACAGCTCCATGTTCCTATTTCTTTTTTTCTACTTCTGCAGACTAGAGATATACCTTGTTAGCAGGGCCATAGAACAACTGTTGTTGTCTTACATTAAGAGAAGGAAGAATGGGAGCAGGAGAGAGAATGGCAAGAGAGAAAAGAGGTAGAAAGAAGAAGGTAGAAAGAAGGAGAGGTGCGGAATGCACAGAAAGGGATTGATCGAATGGGAAGGTAGCATAACAAGGGATGACATAACAATTAGAAAGTATACATTGATCAGCCAGAGCATTAAAAGCACCTTCGTAATATCATGTAGATCCCCCTTGTGCTTTCAAAACAGCTCTGATGCATCATGGCATGGACTCCACAAGACCTCTGAACATATCCTGTGGTATCTGGCTACCATGGATTGGGTTTGTTTTTCCTGCACATCTCACATATGCTCGACCGGATTGAGATCTGGGGAATTTGGAGGCCAAGGCAACACTGTGAATGCCTTTTCATGTTCCTCAAACCATTCCTGAACATATTTTACAGTGTGGCATGGTGCGTTATGCTGCTAAAAGGGGCTCCTGACACCAGGGAACACCATTGCCATGAAAGAGTGTACGTGGTCTGCAACAATCTCTAGGTAGGTGGTACAAGTCAAAGTGACATCCATATGAATGCCAGCATTGCCCAGATCCTAACATTGGCATCCTGTTGCAATCTGTTCCCCAGGTAAATGATGCACATACACCCAGCCATCCACCTATTCTAAAAGAAAACGTGATTCATCAGACCAAGCAGCCTTTTTCGATTGCCCTGCGGTCCAGCTCTAGTCCAGTTCTGGCCAGTCTGCAGTTATACAGCGTCATACGTACTACACTGTGTTCCACTGTGTGTTCTGACACACTTCTATCATGGCCAGCATTGTTTTTAAGCAATTTGTGGTACAGCAACCCTGTCTGCTTTAAACTATATCACAGTATCTTTGAGCATTGGTTGTCATCTGATTTATATATTGTGTTGGTGAGAAACGTTTTTCAAATTTTAGTTTGAAGTACTTTTTTAGCCTTTAATTATTAATATTGCTTTCTACATTGACCACAGATGTATGTGACATAAACATAGGTGTTATTCTCAAATTGTATATATTTACGATATCCAGTTGTGCCCGACCTTCCTGTGGCCCCATGAGTGACCTGATTGGATGAGTGAACATCCACCACTCCTCCTCTCTGATATGGCTTATCATCCACTACTATTTCCTCCCACACATCTGGTCCCTTCTACAAGTACACACTCCTTTCCAAATTGGATTGGTGGATACTAGTACTGCAAGATCATACATACTCAATCCTAACCAACAAATGTGGTGCCTATTCACTTATCAGCACTTCTCCTTAGCAGGGTTGATATGTCCTGCTGATGGCAAGTTGCTGATTAGGCATAAATGGAGCGAGCACTGGTAGCTCTTCTGTTTTATGGATGCAGCATATTGCTGCTGGCTTACTTTACACTGCTTTACCATGGTGGCATCGCATGATCTCAAACTAACTAATCAGCTGTAGGGGTGGGCTATTTAAATAATCTTGATCTTGATTTTGAGTTTTGGCATTCCTAATGATCCCGGTGTAGCAGGTGAAACGTGTGTCAAGTGCGCTGGTGCCCCCCTCTCCCTTATTTTCCTAATTTTTATTACATTGTATTCTTTAACGTTTTGATACACCCACAGTTTAGTGCTGGAAAATCCCTGAATTGTGTGGACAACTCACTGTCATGATTTGGTTTATTCTTAATCTGGTGCAGTACCTGTCTGTGGTGCTATTCCAGGCTGCTGCGCCCAGACTGAGATCTCTCTTTGTTCCTAGCTGGCCTTACTTTGTGATTAACATCTCCCTATTTAGTTGAGCCTCACCCTTTCTTGATTGCCAGTTCATTAATGTTAACGTTGTTGGTCTGGTCCTTTTATCCTGAGTTCTTTTGCTAGCTGGCTGTCTCCCTGTATGCAGAGCCTTGACTGCCTTCCCTCTATCCAGAAGCCTTAACTGCCTTCCCTGTATGCAGAGGCATTGACTGCCTTCCCTGTATCCAGAGGCCTTGACTGCCTTCCCTCTATCCAGAGGCCTTAACTGCCTTCCCTGTATGCAGAGGCCTTGACTGCCTTCCCTGTATCCAGAGGCCTTGACTGCCTTCCCTGTATGCAGAGGCCTTGACTGCCTTCCCTGTATCCAGAGGCCTTGACTGCCTTCCCTGTATGCAGAGGCCTTGACTGCCTTCCCTGGATCCAGAGGCCTTGACTGCCTTCCCTGTATCCAGAGGCCTTGACTGCTTTCCCTGTATGCAGAGGCCTTGACTGCGTTCCCTGGATCCAGAGGCCTTGACTGCCTTCCCTGTGCAGAGGCCTTGACTGCCATCCCTGGATCCAGAGGCCTTGACTGCCATCTCTGTATCCAGCGGCCTTGACTGCCTTCCCTGTATCCAGAGGCCTTGAACGCCTTCCCTCTCTCCTGAGGCCTTGACTGCCTTACCTGTCTCCTGAGGCCTTACCTGCCTTCCCTGTATGCAGAGGTCCTTATGCTACATTCAATTATCTGTGTTTGTATTTTATTTAACTGCTTTCCTTAAATATCAATACACTTATTTTCCTTTATTTGTGTGTATATTGGTTTCTTTGCAATCTGGGTTCCACCCTATAGAGGTTGCTACACTGGTCAGCGCCCCTTACTGACCAAACCCCTTACACTTGTATGAATTTTGGATTATTTTTTCTCTATTTGTTAGATTGCGGCCTTATGTCTTACTGAGAATCCTTGGCATTTATGACCGCACAAAGTACCAATTTTGCCAGCAGGTAAATACCGTATATACTCGAATATAAGTCGAGACCCCTAATTTTACCCCAAAAAACTGGGAAAACTTATTGACTTGAGTATAAGACTAGTGTGAGAAATGCAGCCGCTACTGGTAAATTTCTAAATAAAATTATATCCCCAAAAAATTATATTAATTGAATATTTATTTACAGTGTATGTATATAATGAATGCAGTGTGTGTGTGTGTGTGTATGAATGCAGTGTGTGTGTATGAATGCAGTGTGTGTGTGTGTGTATGAGTGCAGTGTGTGTGTGTGTGTGATGCAGAGTGTGTTTGTGTATGTGATGCAGAGCCTTGGTGGGGGAGGGCATTTTTATTATTTTTTTAAATTATTATTATTATAATATTTTTTTGTTATATTATTATTTTATTTTTATTTTATTATTATTATTTTTTAATATTATTAATATTTTATTATTATTTAATTTTTTTATTTTTTTTTATTCGTCCCCCCTTTCTGCTTGTTAGCTGGCCAGGGAGGGGGGCTCTCATTCCCTGATGGTCCAGTGGATTGGCTGTGCAGGAGGGGGGCTGACAGAGAGCTGTAACTTACCTTTCCTGCAGCTCCTGTCAGCTACCTTCTCTCTCCTCCGGTCCAGTCAGCTCCCCTGTCAGCTCCCTCTGCAAGTCTCGCGGTCTGAGTGCCGCGCGGAGCATTGCCACGGTAACCCGTGGCAATGCCCTGACCCCACGGCTCTCGCGAGACTTGCAGTGGAGCTGACCGGACCAGAGGAGAGAGAAGGGAGCTGACAGGAGCTGCAGGAAAGGTAAGTTACAGCTCTCTGCCAGCCCCCAACAGGTCCTTGTCTGTATTATGTAAGTTGCCATAATACAGACATTGACTTGAGTATAAATAGAGTGGGGTTTTGTCAGCTCAAAAAATTTGCTGAAAAACTCGACTTATACTCGAGTATATGCGGTAGTTAAAACAAAACCTTGGCAGAGTGAGGACTAACCATGTGATTGTAGGATATGAATATCCATTTTGCTTAATATCCTAGCTGTTCATATAAGGGTTAATTTGAACCAAGAATAAATTTGGAATTGTATCTTCGATTCTGGGAAGAATTTATCTAATATCATTTACAAGAAGGACCATACTGATTTCCAAATGTTCTTGTTAATTGTCCAAGATTAAGGTATTTGTAAATATCTTGTTTTGATCAAATATACATGTGTTATATAACGTAGAATTATAATAAGAAACAGCTGCTCATAACTTGTGAAAAACAATGTCATTGTCACGCCCATATGCTCATTTTCCCCCCTCCCATCCTGCTATGAAAATGGGGTATAAAAATAACTGACGTATGAATACAATTTGAATTGATTATTGAACATGTCTCTGCTATTCATTTCCAATTTCCAGAGCTCTGAATGAGTTGGCAAATATCCATCATCCACAAAGGGCCCGGGCTGATTTTATCCCCAACAAACTGGTGTCAGAAGTTTGAGTGCAATTGGGAACGCAGATTACAGGTAAGAGGATTTTTAGCCCCTTGGGGACACAACTTCTGGAATTAAAGGGAATCATGACGGAGTATTTCTGTCGTGTGTCCTTAAGGGGTTGGGGACATTTACCTGCTTCTGCCATCCTCCCACACATTGCATTTCTTGTTTCAATGGGGTTTTTCGCTATTTAAGTTTTTCAAGGGGATTTTCACAGGATAATGTCTTTGATAGACATGGTATTTTAAGTCTTTGGTAGACTTCTATTACTCCACGGGTTGGAGGAACGCCTTTGGCAGGCTATAATTGTGCACAATTTCCTCTTTGGTAGAGGTTCACCTTTGGCCAGGTGTTAAAAATATTTTCAAGCCTTTGGCAGGCTGTCATGTCCTGTGATGTACATTTACATATGGGTTTTGTAGACTAAAATGGTTTACAAAAAAAAAAGGGTTAAAAGGGAATATTGTTTAAACCCGGTATGATGGATGTTTGGCATTACTCCGGCTTGCTAATTTATGTGCTATTTTATGATGCGCAACGCTGATTTTAAGCATAAAGTCTTAATTGAGGGAATGTCAAAAGTACATGTAAAGGCGATGATGAATAAGAGAAAAAAAATAGAGGTTGTTTAAGGGGGGCTACAGATTCTAGAACTAACATGATTTCTCTGCATGTATGTTTGTTTGCATAATGAGCCCTTATTTTTATACTTGGACAAAAGTACTATAAGCCCACTACACTTTTTCATGAGAGTGGGATGTATGATTGTTTATATGATGAGCCCTTTATTTTTATATTGGGACAAAAAGTGACTTCATTCAAAACGTCAAACACCACATTCTTTCTGCTCTGTGTGTTTGTTGCAGAGAATTTATGTTGTAAATTTAGATTATTATAAGTTAGAGAACAAAATTAATATTTTCAGCGGTCCAACACATGCTTCATTTTGTGCTGTAAGCTAACTTGTAGTATTCCAGTACGTCACATGTTGTATGTGCTTTAAATTGTATGTATTCTATAAATTGTTGAATGGGAATGCTGAGATTTTATTGCTTGTGACCCAAACTGTGCAGAAGGGGGTTTGAAATTTTGGTGAAATGTAGGATCGGAAAACCATGGACAAAGGTTTTTACCTGTGTTGATATGATTTTTGGGAACTCAAATTGACCGGTCAAAATTTTGCCATGCCTTTAACATGGAGTAGTATAAATATTTTGAGTCTTTGAGAGTTCTGACAAATGCAGGTGATACCATGTCTGTGTAATCTGGTCCAAATGTTCTATAAGCGTATAAGAGAGAAATTCCCTTGACAGGTTTCATATGTTGCAACTGGTTAATGCAAGTGTTATACAAATGTTTAAGTCAAACGCGTTATATGGCCGTACGGGATCCCTTCTGTAAAAAGAAAAAATAAACCCTTTGGTACCAGAACTCTTAAATAAATCTGATACAAACTAAAATTGGTATACCTTACAATAATATGTTCTGAATATAGCTGTTAGAAGTTTATTCTGTGTGAATGGTGATTGTGATAAATGTGTGTTTTGGGTACTCATTTTAAAGTATGCAGTTTAATTGTCATGCATGTTAATGGGTATTTTGCTGTGTTATTTTAAATTATATTTGAATTAGTTTGTCTTAGTATTGATACAGATGGAAATGGCAGCGTAGTAATCTATGAAATAACTGATTTATTATTGAATACTAGTCCAAGAGCAATATGAGTTGTAGTCTTAAGAAAGAAAAAAAAAGAGGGAGTCTGTTTTTGTAAGTTTTAGCTGATTTCCAAAATTCTGTTGCAATAATGGACTTTCTGCCAAAATTCGACTTTCCTGTCCAATTGCCAGGTGTTCTGATCTAATCTTAAAGCAGTACTGATTGCATAGTTTGCAGACATGCATAATGCACAAACATGAGAACCTATATTATGTCTGGCACAAAGTGTGACATTTATTAATTTATTTTGGATTGAGTTAATTACCTGTCCAAGAATATGCTTTTTGCATTGGCATGTCTGCTGGATATCTGCTACATTCGCTGTGTTATAAGATGACGTGTGATATTACAATGAGTATGAAGAATATTTATTTAAAGAATATGTCATTAATGCAAGCCTTTAGTGTCTTTTTACAACAGATTAAAAAAACGCTGATCAGCCAACAAGAAAGGGGCCCCTGGGAAAGAAAAAGAAAAAAATATATAATTTGCTTTTCAAAATCGTGGATCCACGTTTCAGTATTATTAGGGGAGTATTTAGAGTTAACGCTACTTTTAAAGTGCATTGCATTATTTAAGAAAATAAAAATTTGTTATCTTTAACATAAACAATTGTTATGTTATATGGTTATATAACAAGATAAATTATGGATGTATAGGATAGGTTTTTTCCAAGATTAAGATTCATCTAGTATGCCTCATTGATTATAGCAAAATGATGAAATGGTATTTTTAATAGAGATCAGATCATTTCTTTTGAGGCAATTCTAAACTACTGTATTATATTTGTATTGGTATATTGAAAGCATTTTGCAGACCCAGAAGAGAATAAATAATATAGTAATTATAAAAGGAACCATACTATGGGAAGAGGTCACCCTATTAAATCGCTAAGGGATTAAACTCATTTTTGATAAGCATATAAAATTTAGTTTTTGTGGTTAGAATTTTTGATACTCAATTTGAACTCAATTGAAGTATTACAACAATATCCTTGCAGGTATAGGAAACAGCTGCAATATGATTTTAATATTTGCAATATATTCGTGTTTTCAATGTATTCTGACAATGGAAAAGTACCTAACCACATGTCTGCATTACACCTATGACCCAGACTGTCAGTATTGCAAACCCTATATGAAGACTCTGCTTTCACTGTTTATGTATACACCCCTAGACAACCGTGCTATACATGCACAATAAATCTTCAAAAGCTTATTAATATTATATCTGTGTGGTACACAAAGAGGTGTACACAAAGAGGGGGTGTGAGTTAGGTCATCTCGACCTTCATATGGAATATGCTTCCTCCTTGTTCACTTTTGGTTATACTGTTGGTCTGTGACTGGCCCTCTTTGACCCCAACTGAATTTCTTGGGAAGATTCATGAGAAAGATACAGCAGGTTGTTTTGATATAAAGAAAGAGGGAAAAGTGTATCGGTCACAAAAGGATTGTGAGCTTAAGCAGGCGAGACAAAGAAATTTGGTAGGTGATAGGAGATTGAATCAGAAAAGTTTTAGAGGCTGAGGTAGTTGATTTGATCAAAGGATCTAACTTTTGTAGAGGTGGTAACTTCAGCACTATTTTAATTATGGATAGCAGGGATTCACCCCAAGGTGCTCGTGGTGCTCGTGGTGAACCCGGTTCTCCTGGTCAAGCTGGCCCCACTGGTATTGATGGTGTCCCTGGCTTCCCTGGTGCCTGTGGTGCTCCTGGAGCTCAGGGCCTCAAAGGTTCCCCTGGACCTAAGGGTAACAATGGTGAACCTGGTGCTCAAGGAGACAAAGGAGAACCCAGTGCTAGGGGAGAACCTGGCTCAGCTGGCATTCAAGGACTCCACCCTGGCAGGTTCCTCAATACCAACCACAACTTTCAAGCTATACCCACACCCAACAACCTCAGCCTAATACACAGATGGTTCATGTTTTTAATACTTTATATATAGTTTTGAGTGATAAAACAGTATTAATGCTGAAGTTGGGACCTAGACATTGTTTGCATAGGCTGCGCAATGTGAAATAACTAAAATAAAATAGGATAATAATAAGTATGCTTAGTCAATTTGTAACGTGGTATAATAGAGGCATCTGCAATAAAATAAGTGTGTTTTCAAGACCTGACAAGTGAGGGCAACTTAATAACATATGTCTACAGTTTGCTGTCCCTTCCTTATCAGAGGCCACTTGCAACCTTAACACAGCAAGACAACTCTTCCGAAACCTGTATTAAACAAAGCACTTTAGAACAATAGTAATTTATTTTGTTTCTCCTATTTCATTCCTAGTTGTTGTGAAAAAAATATATATTGTTTAAGTGGGATAACTGTATGGAGGTTCCACCATGTATTAAAACATGATCACACACATACAGAACTGGTGGCTTTTTGGACATCGGGATCTATAAAAGGTTTCGGTTTCCAAAGATGTTAGCAGGGTCCAAAAAACTGACAGACTTCAGCATTCCAATTTTATTAAAGTAATTAATGGAGATTATCAAATCAAGTTTTAAATTTAAGAACAGCATTTTATTGGGAATTATACCAATATGTATATGTTAGTGTTTTAGTACTCAACAAGCATTTATATAGAATGAATGCTTCTCTCATCCATACAAAGGCATTTTAAAGGGAAAGTATGTATTAAAATTTTATAAAGGACAAATTCAATGAATTATAAGCAAAACTGAGAGAAGTACATGTTACACTAGTTAAGAGTTTAACTTTAGTCTCTAATTTGAGTTAAGCCTAGATAATTAATTTATTGATGTCGTACTGATCCTTGTGTTTGTATGATTATAGAGACCGTACTGGAGTATTTGTGCCGCCTGATATTTGGGACTACACACCAATTTCTCTGGCTGACCTACCTGCCTACCTACCTTTTTTGCAATTAAATCTGTTTGGTCAAAAACCATGCTGGCCGAAGAAACTGAGATGCTTACTTATGGGGGCATAAACTAACTTGGAAAGTCCTGAAGATGCAGTGCTGTCGAATTTCTGTATTACCCTTTCAACAATTGGGGTGTTGCACAGAGTACTGTGGTGAACATCCACCAAACAGAAGAATTAAGAACTATGTGGAAGCTGACATTGTCTTGTTGTCAGCCATATTGCTACCCTTAGCTATGTTATGGTGTCTAACATTCTTTATACTCCTTGAAAGACTTATAATATTTTTCTGGACTATGCTGGACTATTGAACTATTTTGTTATTTTTATTTTTGTAGAGTTAGCCGGAGAGAGAGGAAGTGTTAGCTTACTCAGGCATGGATGTGCTATGTGTGTCATTGATGTATGTTGAGTGTACCAAGGATGGATTCCCATGTATTAAGTGTGGATATGACTGGACCATCGAAATAGGGATGTGATTAGGAGGCATAGGACGCAAGGTCATGATTAGGATTATTGTTAGAATTGCAAACTGATTAGAAATTATCTTATGATTTAATATGTAAGTGGGCCTTTTCAAACTAATCAAGAAGTGTTTCCCAATCCTGATACCCGAGCTATTTACTTACAAGTGCAGGTTTTATAAGTCACTAATGATGTCAACGTGAGGGGATGACATGTCTACAGTCATCGCCCTCACTTAGAATTTACAGAGATGTGCTTTTTTCCTCAAATATGAGTTTTTGCCACTGGGTTTTTTGACCTGGCCCAAGTTCACTGGGTACACTGGTAATCCAAGACCCTGGTCCAAAGAGGGGAAATAGATTTTATTCCCATTTTTGATTATATGTGTTTACATTGTAAATTATAATAATAATATTCCCGTTGTTGGGAATAATACACTTTGCCTGTTTTGATCCAAGGCTCAAGTTACAGATAACATGATGTGCAGTATGTTTAAAATTGGTTAACATGTCAGCTGTTTGAAATATTTAATTTGTACACTTAAAAGATGTGTACAACAGATGATTACAGAAGCTGAAAATCGACAGCTCAATCTCCTCTTAAAGGGAAAACCTACGGCATAGAGCAAATGGGGGAAATCGAGGTGAAGAAATAATGAAAGTCCTGCAGACGTGATTAGCACGTCTGAATATACCTCCTTTCGTTTCTCTGCCGCAGGCCTCCCATGGATATTCCGTAAGGTAGATCACGATATGATCTAAAGAGAGGAATTGTAGGACATGAATATTCATTTTGCTTAATATCCTAGCTGTTCATATAAGGGTTAATTTGAACCAAGAATAAATTTGCAATTGTATCTTCGATTCTATGAAGAATTTATCTAATATCATTTACGAGAATGACCATACTGATTTCCAAATGTTCTTGTTAATTGTCCAAGATTAAGGTATTTGTAAATATCTTGTTTTGATCAAATATATATGTGTTATATAATGTAGAATTATAATAAGAAACAGCTGCTCATAACTTGTGAAAAACAATGTCATTGTCACGACCATATGCTCATTTTTCCCCCTCCCATCCTGCTATGAAAATTGGGTATAAAAATAACTGACATATGAATACAATTTGAATTGGTTATTGAACACGTCTCTGATATTCATTTCCAATTTCCGGAGCTCTGAATGAGTTGGCAAATATCCATCATCCACAAAGGGCCCGGGCTGATTTTATCCCCAACAGTGATGAAGGCCCAGAGCTTGCTGGACATCTGCCACATTAAAAAAGTCCTAAAATAAAAAAGGGTATGGTGTAGTATAAGGGAGGTTTTAAACCTCTATTATGTCCCCACCAATAGAATGGCAGCAGCTGCTCACTGTAAATATAAACTGTAACTTGAATAGTGATTCAGTAGCCATTACTGCCAAGACACTAGAAAGGCCCCATACCATATGGGGTGGGGGTCTTCAAAATAACTAGGTGACCTAGGATAAGTGCACTTTGTGCCCCAACCTGTAGGCTTGTGGGTGGATGCTATCAAATAAGAAAATGCATATTGTAGTGTAAACTGCAACACAGTGTACAAACAGAAGAAGCTTGCAATTTGAAAAAAATCCCAAGCAATAACCCAGTAGCATACTGCAAATCAAATAATCCATCACCATGAAAAAACAATTTTAACTTAGTGAATCAAAGTGAGTGTAGGAGTGATCTGATTGATTGGCAGGTCTAGAGAGAGGAGAGTGAATGAAATAATATTATAATTAGGACCCCACCCACCTCCAAAGGCTTTGGGAGGATACTAGGTCCTCTTCGTAAATATTATAATTAGGATCCCACCTTGGTGGATTGGGGGGACACTATGTTCCCGCTATGTTATATTATCCCTCATCTGAATGGGTGAATAGGGAGGCACTTTAACATCCACTCTTTTATCAAATAGCCAAACATGAGGGCAGGTGGGTGGACTGTGATACGTTTAGCCCTCCTTTATTTATTTTAAAGTTCCCCTTTCTATTTGCACTGTGAGAAATATTATTGTGTTTTGTCTCACCAAAAACATTTTTATACCTACCTAAAATTTGATATTGACTTGAATTGAATTTTTACCTTAGTAAATAACTCAGCTGTAAATATGACTTTAGTAAACCAGTGTAAAATGGCTAAGGAACTGTTGCCACCAGTATTAATAGTGAATACACAATACTAATTGTAACGGCACCCTCAGCATAAAATAGACAAAGCGCCGTTTAGTGAATCCTCCCCTCTCACCATAACGCAGGCTTCATTCGTATCAACTGCAACTATACGAATTGCCAGCAGGGGAAAACTCCGATCTCCCGAACGGGACCCGTACGGGTACTTCACTTCCCGGACTCCAAACTCACAAATCACCGCTAGTAGCCGAACGCATATATCTCCCAAGCAGCTAATAATCCCATCCGGCAGTCTCTATTCGTCGGTAATAAATCCCCCCAATAACGAGACCAAGCTCCGCATTGAGGGTAAAACATGAACTGGGTTTACTGTGGGCTACCCGCCCAAATATATGCAGGTCTCCCACTTGGTGGACACTCCTCTAGGGGACCAAATGGGAGACTGTAATGGCAGATGGACATACAGGCACACAATATTCCCAGCATGCATCATGGTTTCCTCCCCTCTGCCCTGGAGATAATTGAGAAGTAATTCCATTATCTTCCAGGACAGAGGCAAATCGCCATTTTAAATACAACACAAAAAACACATAAAAATACATAACTTTATAATTGTCAAACATTTCTCATTTGTATCACGTATCCCCAGATAGCCTGGATCTGAGTGCATATTATTGGCGAATAGCGCTCAGATCCCATACGCATAGTTCAATCGCCATGGAGTCAAAGTCTATTACAGTCTTTCGGTAAGCGATTGACTCCATGGGAAGGCTATCTGGGTTAAGCCCATTCGTGTGTTTCAAACTCCCAAACGGCTGATGTTTGTGTACTTCTGTCGATTGAGAAGGGAGGTCGGTGGCTTCAGCTGTGTTCGGCGGAAAAAGTGTCCGTTTTCAGTTCCATAGAATCTGGGCCAAACACCGCTGGTCTTTCGCTTGTTTAAAATGGCCGCTGCCTCGTGGTCGACATACGAACGACGACCACCCTGCATTCGGTTTTAATTGAGAATTGTCTGCGGTTAACCACAATGTTCTAATTGGGATCAAGAGGTTAACCAGCAGCACACTTCTCTTCTGGGTGGCCGTCCGTTCGGTAGTTTTGTAAGGCAAAAAACGTCAATTATACGAACAGAGGCATACGAATGAGTAATTCCACGAAAGGGCAAAACAGACGAACCAGCAATCCCAGTCTATACAGATGGATCTGTCACACGGCTCCCCCCTTGTGGAACACTCCGGCAGACCCGGCTTGACCCTGTGGCGGGTCAACTTGGGGATGACCGGACTAGGAGGTAATAGGGACATCGGTTTGCTGGGACAATCCATCTGCATTCCTGTTCTGCTTACCGGGTCGGTAGCTGATGGTGAAGTTGTAAGGTTGTAAAGCTAAACTCCACCGCAGCAGTCTACCATTGTCTCCTGAGACCCGGTTCAGCCAGACAAGGGGATTGTGGTCCGTAATAAGAGAGAACTCCTGCCCGTACAAATAGGGGCTCAATTTCTTTAATGCCCAGACCAGGGCCAAACACTCCTTCTCCACTGCCGCATAACTCACTTCCCGAGGTAGTAACTTTCTGCTAAGATATGCGACAGGGTGCTCTCCTCCATCTTCCCCGACCTGGCTCAGCACAGCCCCCAATACATGGAAGCATTTGTATGAACGAGAAAACGTTTGTTAGGGACTGGGGCAGCCAGGACAGGGGCACTCACCAGAGCTTTCTTCAATGCCTGAAACGCGGCTTCACAAGCTGGAGACCACAGGACCTTCTTAGGTAAATTCTTTTTAGTCAGGTCAGTCAGGGGCTTAGCAATAGTGCTGTAGTTGGGGACAAAGCGTTGGTAATACCCTGCTGTTCCCAGGAAGGCCAGCACTTGGGTCTTGGTGATAGGTGTGGGCCAGTTAGCTACAGCTTCTACCTTGGCTGGCTCTGGTCTCTGGCTCCCACATCCTACCCTGTGACCCAAGTACTGTACTTCTGCCATACCTAGATGGCACTTGTCGGGCTTCAAGGTCAGGCCAGTGGCTCGAATCTTGTCCAGAACCACCCCTACGTGTACCAGGTGTTCTTCCCAGGACTCACTGTAGACCGCAATGTCATCCAGGTATGCACAAGCAAATTCCTGGAAGCCATCGAGAAGCCTATCCACCATACGCTGGAAGGTAGCCGGAGCATTCTTCATCCCAAATGGCATGACCTTAAACTGGTACAGACGAATGCCGACTTAGGGATAGTATCCTCAGCCAGGGGGATCTGCCAATAACCCTTACACAGGTCTATGGTGGTCAGATAGTGCCCCCTGGCAATGCGGTCTAATAACTCATCCCATGGAGTCAAAGTCTATTACAGTCTTTCGATATGCGATTGACTCCATGGGAAGGCTATCTGGATTAAGTCCATTCGTGCGTTTCAAACTCCCGAACGGCCGGTGTTTGTGTACTTCTGTCGATTGAGAAGGGAGGTTGGTGGCTTCAGCGGTGTTCGGCAGAAAAAGTGTCCGTTTTTAGTTCCATAGAATCTGGGCCAAACACCGCTGGTCTTTCGCTTGTTTAAAATGGCTGCCGCCTCGTGGTCGACATACGAACGACAACCACCCTGCATTCAGTTTTAATTGAGAAGTGTCTGCGGTTAACCACAATGTTCTAATTGGGATCAAGAGGTTAACCAGCAGCACACCTCTCTTCTGGGTGGCCGTCCGTTTGGTAGTTTTGTTCGGCAAAAACCGTCAATTATACAAACAGATGCATACGAATGAGTAATTCCACGAAAAGGCAAAACAGACGAACCAGCAATCCCAGTCTATACAGATGGATCTGTCACACTAATAGTCTGCTGTTTAAAAAAAAAAAAAGTTAAAACTTAAAAATTTAAAATAAAGATTACTTTATTTAAATAATTCACTGTCTATTCTGTTTTTTGGGGACTTTTTTAGACATTGAATTTCATTTTCTAGTTTTCTAGTTTCAATGAATCTAATCTCTGAAATTGTGTATTATTATCATTTATAAACCTTACTCCATGTAGTAAGTATAATCAACACCATTAAAACAATTCTTTATTTGTATGAAATCACAATAAAATAACAGTTAATAAAAACATGTCATTATACAATCTACTGCTACAGAATCACTTAGTTCACAATTAATAAGATATATTGAAGGAATCAAAATATAATTATTTGAATACATCTTGAGAAGGGAAAATCTTTATTCATTCTGAGGTGATTAGTATCAAATAAAAGTATAAAAGTGTATACATCTATATCAAAGGTATTGATAAAAATCTGGGGAAAGTGGATGAAACCGATCAAGAAAATGTTTCATTTTTTATAGAGAATTGTAATATATATTGCTTAAATGGAATGTAAATCTATTGAAAATGCTTTTTTTAATGAAGAGGGTTAAAGACAGCTGGTTTGACTACAGTAGGTTTCCTGTAAGATGGTTCCTGTGACGGTATATCTATTACTGAATCTTGAGCTAGGATGCATGATCCTACTTTTATATAATATATATATATGTATATATGTATTTATATATATATATATGTGTGTATATATGTGTATATATATATATATATATATATATATGTATGTATATGTAACAAATATAAATATATATATAAATCTTGATACATTTTAGTGAATGACTTGTAATAGTAAATGTATAGAATATAAAGTGCAATAGATATTAATAGATGTTAAAACGTAACATTTACAACTTTAAATATATATATATATATATACATATATATATATATATATATATTTATGTGATTCATACACATGTAGTTAAGCTTATATTTAATTCATAATTAACAATAAGATTATTTTATTATATGCTATTGGTTTGGTGTGTATATAAAAAAAAGAGAAAATAAGAAGTTGAAAATGAAAAAAAATTACATATAAATTGCTAAGTTGCTAAATTGATAAGAGATATAGTCTATTGCAAGTTGTCTTAAAACGTTTGGAGGGCAATAGTCTATTCTGAATTACAAGATTCCGAACCTTGTTAGAAGGTAGCCAAAAGAAAGAGACCAGTATCTCTAAGGGAGATATTTTGCAGCTAAAAACAGTGTATTAAAGGAATAGCCTAAGAACCAAAGCAACTTTTACGTAATGAAGGAGTTAAGGTAAATAGTTAATACAACTGATCGTCACTGCTCAATTTTCTATTTTTTAAGAGTTAAATCATTTTGCCATACTACCTAGATCTCTTTTTCAGGAAGTGTGTAGGGAGGTTGTGTGAATTACAGCCTAGAAATGTGTTGTTAAGGCTGTATAAACAAAGCAATTAAACTTCTGAAGCTCAGAGAATTGAGTCCTGAGATTGAGGGGAGGGGATCCTTTAAATTCAGCTGATGAGAGAGTATAACATTTAGATTTGAGTTTGTTTTTTTTATAATCCCTGCAATTTGTTTAAATGGAGATTGTGCACACCTCACTAGAGAAATCAATACCCATTTAAAAGTGAAGAAGAATATTATTATCATTATTATTTATAGAGTGCCAGCATATTTTGCTTGCTTTACCATTATAGAAAGGGGACTTTGGAGGTAAAATATAATTTTGGACCATAAAAAAATGAACACATTACTTAATAAATATCAAGCACAATCATTAGATGCAAGGTCAATCCACCTGCCTACCAAAAATTACCCCGTATTATATATTTCTATGGAGTTTGGGAGACAGTAGGAAGTTATCACACATCTTTGAAGACACATCCAAGCTAAATTTTTATTTGTGGGCAAATGGCACACTGGAAGAAAGCTATTGGAGACTTCATTCTAGATATTAAAACAATTAGACTCCTTTTGAGTCCCAACCTGGAGAGGTATAGCTAATGCAGTATAAACAAAGGGATTTAACTCCTAAATGGCAGAGAATTGAGTAGTTGGACTGCAGATGCACATATCAAAACCATTTTATTAAGTTATTTTGATGCTTAAAGTGTCCTTTTAAAAATGAGTTTCAGATTGTGATCTCAGTGACTCCACCATCTATGAGCTTGATTTATGCATTCAAACTATATCTTAAAAAAAATTGTAACTCAGAGATATGTACTATTTACTAACATGGCTCAAAGTGTAATGATGAAGCCCCATCAGTAATTATATAACAAAAAATGGACAAAGTAACTTATTCTCACTGCAAATAGAGAAACATCTTTGTAGGTAAAATGCTGTCTGCAATAAAAACAAATATTCATCACCCTACCACCTAGGGATGTAGAAAGTGCAAAGGACCATTTTTCAGGTTTCTCTCCACTATCTCACTCACTCTCTTTTTTGTTCTTCTGCGCATTGAATAGAGAAATAGGAGGGGAGGGGGGGGGGGGGGTATATGCCAGGCATCCCCTAGTTTACAGTGAGGTCTAAGAGACCCTAAACTTTTTTAACTTTTTGTTTCCATTATATAGAATTTTAACTGCTAAAAGTGGCGATTGCATGTTTCATACTGTGATTTTATACTGTATCTGAGACAGTATTTGTTTTTTACTATTTTTTTTTCTTTCAGTACTACAAAAGAGAACATAGCCTTCTATAACATTGCAATGGTTAATTACACTGACATCACTAAGTGGGATATTAAAGGGACTCTACATGTCTCTGTAGTTTTTACTTTGCAACTAAAAAACATTGCCGTTCTGCAGGAACAGTAATGTTTACATTGCATGATTAACCTGCCTTCCTGACAGCACTAGAGGTGCTTCAGGTCCAAAAGCTGAATTAAATGTGGCTATACAATCACCTAGTCTCATAGGCCATTTGGTTGTGCAGCACAGCATTAGCCATGCATGCACACTAGACTTCTAATGATTCCCTGTGGCCGGTGATCTCAGGGAACGAGTGGTAGGATGAAGTCCCATGAGGCAAGGACTGAAAGGTAAGTAAACCTCCCCTTTTGAACCCTCACATGCAGGTGGACTCTAGAATAGATAGTTATTCCTAACTCTATAGTGTTCCTTTAAGACTTGTCTATTGTTCCAATGAGGTCATATTACTACAGTCAGAAGTAATTTTTTGAATTTTTTCATAAATTTGCCAGCACACAAAAAATTAAGTTGGACTATAATAAGTCTGGCGTATATAAATATAGAAATAGCTAACCGTGATATAGCTTTAGTGGCTATTTAAACCATTCTGCAATACTTGGAATCGTTCTATAACCAGGGGCTTCTTTCAGTGCCCGACACACCTTACAGTACTGTAGCATAAAAGATCCTCTGTGAGATACCTCATATTTAGACTTCCATACAAAATACTGTTGATATTTCTGATAATTTTTGTCCAAGTCAAGGATATATGAAGCCAGTTCTTTTGTAGTGTTGAAGTCATCAACATGAATAAAGGATTCTGGGGGGGCAAATCGTTCATAATTTTTCCTGGGAGGACCCAGGACTATTGGCACAGCACCCGAAACAAATGCATTATTCCAAAACTTCTCTGTGATGTAATCTTCATGTATTGAATTTTCGAATGACAGGTAGAATTTGTAAGTGGATATGTTTTTCATATAGTCAGTTCTTGATAGTGGTTTGTGGTATTTTCCAAAAACATCAATATTTAAATAATTTTTAAGATCTTCATAATATTTTACTCTCCTAGAATTTTTTTTCCAGTTACTAACCATCCAAGCCACCAACTTGCTCTTTTTAGGAATTATGTACTTTTTACTGTCTTGGTTTTTTGAGACCAACCAGCCATATGGCGTAGGAATATCAGAATCAACCCTGTAAGACATAGTAAGATTAATAAGGTTGTCTAGAAAGACAAGGTTTAGACTGTTAGATGGTGACTCCATGTTGGACCAAATCCAGAACTGATTTGGTGGTCTTGGAATTTGTGGTAATAGGGTTTTAGATGTACTTATATTCCTGTGATGAATGATAACAGCATGAGCAGATGAATACATGTCCCGGTCGATTGTGTATAGGCAATCAGAAGCATCAAATTCTGGTGGACACCTGTTTAGGGGGAAACTATATCTGAGCGGCCATGTCCACAGAAGTAGAACAATTTTAGGCCTCTTTGTTACATTAATTAATTCATGTGTTTGAGTATATTCTAAGTCATTACTCTTGATTCCCCGATATACCAGAAATGATATAAATGCTATAGTAAGTAATAGGACAACAGTAAAGAGGATCTGACTACATTTTTTTATATTTTCGATGGATATCATGCTGAAGGAGCACCTTTCTCTTGATGAACCAGGAAACACTTGATATTGAAGGGTACTTTATTATTCGCAGCTCTTCTTTTTTGTTGACCCTTTTAAAGAAACAATAATATAATAACAGTTGCTTAATTTAATAATAAGCATATTCAAATGAGTCAGCATTTACATTTTACTTTTCTAGAGTCTAGGTTAGATTTGGGAAAAGCAAAATAATTAAATCTTAAATAAATAAGTGATCCACTTCTTTATTATTTTGTAGTCGTTGTGATCAGGTGTTTTAGTGAGGACCACTAGAAGTGTGGTAGCGCCTGTTTGTTAAGATTGGAGTATTTTCACAGTAAAGGAGGTACTAGAATATACCCACATAATATATATGTATATGGATGATATAAGTGCTGGGGCACAATTATTTTTGTTTGCTAGATATGCAGTATCTCACAAAAGTGAGTACACCCCTCACATTTTTGTAAATATTTTATTATATCTTTTCATGTGACAACACTGAAGAAATGACACTTTGCTACAATGTAAAGTAGTAAGTGTACAGCCTGTATAACAATGTAAATTTGCTGTCCCCTCAAAATAACTCAACACACAGCCATTAATGTCTAAACCGCTGGCAACAAAAGTGAGTACACCCCTAAGTGGAAATGTCCAAATTGGGCCCAATTAGCCATTTTCCCTCCCTGGTGTCATGTAACTTGTTAGTGTTACAAGGTCTCAGGTGTGAATGGGGAGTAGGTGTGTTAAATTTGATGTTATCGCTCTCACACTCTCTCATACTGGTCACTGGAAGTTCAACATGGCAGCTCATGGCAAAGACCTCTCCGAGGATCTATAAAAAAATAACTGTTGCTCTACATAAAGATGGCCTAGGCTATAAAAAAAATTGCCAAGATCCTGAAACTGAGCTGCAGCACGGGCAAGACCACACAGCGGTTTCACAGGACAGGTTCCACTCAGAACAGGCCTTGCCATGGTCGACCAAAAAGTTGAGTGCACGTGCTCAGCATAATATCCAGAGGTTGTCTTTGGGAAATAGATGTATGAGTGCTGCCAGCATTGCTGCAGAGGTGGAAGGGGTGGGGTGTCAGCCTGTCAGTGCTCAGACAAAATGCAGCACACTGCATCAAATTGATCTGCATGGCTGTCGTCCCAGAAGGAAGCCTCTTCTAAAGATTATGCACAAGAAAGCCAGCAAACAGTTTGCTGAAGACAAGCAGACTAAGGACATATATTACTGGAACCATGTAGTTCCTGTGGTCCGATGAGACCAAGATAAACTTATTTGATTCAGATGGTATCAAGCTTGCGTGGCGGCAACCAGGTGAGGAATACAAAGACAAGTGTGTCTTGCCTACAGTCAAGCATGGTGATGGAAGTGTCATGGTCTGGACCTGCATGAGTGCTGCCGGCACTGGGCTACAGTTCATTGAGGGAACCATGAATCTGAACATATACTGTGACTACTGAAGCAGAGCATAATCTCCTCCCTTCGGAGACTGGGTCGCAAGGCAGTATTCCAACATGATAACGACCGCAAACACACCTCCAAGATGACCACTGCCTTGCTAAAGAAGCTGAAGGTAAAGGTGATGGATTGGCCAAGCATGTCTCCAGACCTAAACCCTATTGATCATCTGTGAACCATCCTTAAATGGTAAGTAGGGGATGTTGTCATTGAGGAGTGGAATAAGACTCTAGTGGCAACTTGTGAAGCAAGCCCATGAGGGTTAAGGCAGTGCTTGAAAATAATGGTGGCCACACAAAATATTGATACTTTGGGCCCAATTTAGACATTTTCACTTAGGTGTGTACTCACTTTTGTTGCCAACGATTTAGACATTAATGGCTGTGTGTTGTTATTTTGAGGGGACAGCAAATTTACACTTTTAAGCAGGCTGTACACTTACTACTTTACATTGTAGCATGGTGTCATTTCATCAGTGTTGTAACATAAAAAGATATAATAAAATATTTACAAATATGGGCGGGGTGTACTCACTTTTGTGAGATACTGTATGTACTCAATGAGAGAAAGTGTGTCAATTACTGATATAATGTTTTCCTTTATTTTATTAATAATAATAATAATAATAATAATAAATAAGTGAATTACAGTAAGCAATTGGCAAAGTGGATAGTCAGGGAAAACTGGCTCCTACTTACATTGTGCTATATTGGTGACCTCATATATGTATGGGTATTATAAATGGGACCATCAATCTGGGCTTGCACCTTGTTTGTAAGTAAGAATAAATCTAATGACTCACTGCATGGCCTACGCGTTATCAGGGTTATTAAAGTCCAAGTGGCCTCTTATCTAATGAAGCATTCAGGCTGCAAAATCCGGACATTGTTTATGCAATTCAGCAATGTCTGAAATTGTTTCTTAATTTGGTCTGGATTTCAGCCCGAAATCTTCAATAAAGTATGTCCCCTGGTAACATTATTAAGCTATGAGTCCTAAGCCTTCAGGGGTAGTGGATATATATAACCTTATGTTATATTCCCTCATATTACCAATTTTATTTAATATTTCTTTAAGTATATAATTGGAATATCAGAAATATTTAAGGATAAATCATAAACCACGTCATGAAAATCATTTACCAGCTAACCCACTGCGTGGTTATTGCTTTCCCTATCTGCACACCAGAAGAATATTCAACAAGATCACTTATTCTAAATCTTAACACCCTGTTCAAGAATGTCTTTCTTTTTAAAAAAAATCAAGAATCTTATATTTGTATTAATTTATTACATTTTAAATTTTAAAGCGATAGACAGAAAAAAAATAAAAATTAACACATCTTAGATTCAGTTACATACCAGTCATCCTATATTGATTTCATTTCTGAGTCTTTGATTTGTATCCCATTCTAGATTAAATCCACCTGAATCTCTAGATTTTAATGTAAATATCCAGTACATTTAATTTTTAAGTATAATTTCTGTAGATCCCCTTTCTTGTTGCCTTGAAATGAGAATTATCATCAGTCTCCCTCAATACATTGATTAAAATGTTTCAACACTGCAGTTTGTTTTACCAGTGGTGCTTTTTTGCTGTAAATATTTTCAGCTATTGCTATTCCAGATTTAGGTTTGGTTTGACCAATGTACTGTTGAACATTGATGTAAATGTTCCACTTTTGTCAACATACATTCAACAAGTGCATCTATTACTCCCACATCTATTTATTCCTTTACAACTCTACGGGCTACAAAATTAATAAAAGGAATGGAACATATCAGCTATGAAGAAAGGTTAACAAATTTAAACCTATTTAGTTTAGAAAAACGTCGCCTGAGAAGGGATATGATAACATTATACAAATATATTCGGGGCCAATACAAACCATTGTGTGGAAATCTATTCACCAACCGGACTTTACATAGGACACGAGGCCATGCATTTAGACTGGAAGAAAGAAGATTTTGTCTAAGGCAAAGGAAAGGTTTTTTTACAGTAAGAACAATTAGGATGTGGAATTCTCTGCCTGAAGAAGTGGTTTTATCAGAGTCCATACAGATGTTCAAACAGCTACTAGATGCATACTTGCAAAAACAGAATATTCAAGGATATAATCTTTCAATGTAGGGTAATAACTTCTTGATCCAAGGATAAATCTGACTGCCATTCTGGGGTCAAGAAGGAATTTTTTTCCTAGCTTGTTGCAAAATTGTGCTTCAAACTGTTTTTTTTGCCTTCTTTTGGATCAACAGCAAAAAACAAATGTGAGGAAGGCTGAACTTGATGGACGCAAATCTCTTTTCAGCTATGTAACTATGTAACTATGTAACTCCACCATTTCACTTCCTGTCATGTATCTCTGAATGTAAACAAGCTTGGAGATAAATAAGAGGGATCCCATCTTGAATTACTTTGAATTCTACTTACAAACCATTTTCAAGGGAAATTATCCATTCTTACTAAAGGAAGATACTCCAGAATAATATTAGCTACCAAATTATATTGATTACTGCATTCAGTGCAAAAAAATGGTAACCTCTCACTCGTTCCCCTATTCTCTCTTTCTTCCTCTTCACAAGAGTTATCCAATACTATATTTGTGTTCATATTAACCCATTTATTTATTTTATGGGAAAGATGACATGTATTCTTTTCCAACAGTACTTGTCTATCTATTGTATAATCTCTGTGGATCATCTGCATGGAATAACCACTTTGTATTAGACTTATTTTAAATCCTTCGACTGAGTTTCATAACTTCATCATAACATCAATGGATAAAGAATTAGCCTAGGGAATTTCCTAAAAATATGGGGAGAATTTCAGCTTTCTTTCCATCACAGGGTATTATTATCTACAGTAATATTATTTTTTTTCTAAAGTATCAGTTGTTTGTTTTGTTGGATCACCTTGGAGGTGTAGATCAAAAAAATATATTAAAATTTAATTATCATCTATATTTCCTAAGAAGAATAAAATTCAATTTCTCATTACTTAATTGATTACCAAAATCAGTACAAGTTTTCCTGTCCCCATCTTGTATCAGCAGAAGATCATCTTTGTATATTCCGTACCACATTATGTATGATCTATGGGGTTTAATATCCACAAACACGTAATGCTGATCCACCATTGACATGTAGATTATCATAGCATGCCATAAACGTTGCCCCCATAGGATTATCACAATTTTAGAGACCGTAAACCCCATCAAACAAACTAATAAATTGACAAAAGAGAGCAAAGACTTTTCTATTTGAAACCATTTCTAAAGTATAACACACACTATCCCGGTTTGTGAAGAAGTCTATCATTATTTGGTATGAAGACACATTAGTGAGAAATAAAAACACAGCACGGCACTGTATTTCTGTATCATCACATACCGCCATTTATAAACTTTAAACAGATATCAATATTGGTGTACATATTTTGTTACGACACAGATACACTCAAAAGTCATTGAGACAAAGTATGAGCTCTGATTTTTTATCTGTACTTTGTATATTTCACTTTATAACACAAGCAA